TCATTATTAGTCATATTATTTCCTCAGAAGGGGCAATTTAACGAATCGAAATTGCCGGCGAGGAAATAATGAACCGACAGCTGTCGATGTAACACAGAGAGCGTAAATGCGTGGCCTAGTCGATCGCGTTCGTGTCTCATGACGCTCGGCGTCATTAAGTACGTCTTTTGCACGGCATAACGCGAGAGGCATAATTACGATACTTTTGTACCGTTAGCGTTAATAAGTCGTAAGAGCCGCGGTCGGTCTCCCCAAAGACGAGATGATAAAGGGGTCGCTCGATCAGGGAATAAATAATTACACGTCGCGGCATTACATCTAATGCCGATATTCTAAAAATGGAGCGCCAAATTGGATTCTTCATATTACGAACACGTAGCGTTATGAGATTCCGCCTTAATTGGCGCATTATCGCACCCGTAGTAATTCAGTTAGAGGATGGCGAAACTCGGCTATTGGGCAATCGTTGTATCACGATATCGAACAACGATTACATTTCCATTAACCCTACATGAGCGATATAATTCCTAATACCAGGTATGTAAATATGAAACCGGAATTTTTGTATAGAAAATACACGTTTATTGTACGAAAATGATAAAAAATATTTTATTCGAAGTATTGCCCACCGCTGGCTATATATTTTTCCCACCTGTCTGACAATTTGTGGATGCCACGCCAAAAAAACTGCAGCAAACTCATCGAGCCATTTTCGTAGATTTTCGTAAGAAGTGAAGCGCTGCTCAGCAAGTGCGTGTCCCATCGATGCAAATAAGTAGTAATCGGACGGAGCCGCAAGTCTGGTGAGTAAGCCGCATGCGAAAGTATTTCCCAACTAAACGCCTCAATCGTTTCCTTGACCAGTTTTGCTGTATGTGTGATGGTGCATTATCATGAAACAAAATCACTTTGTGTTGCCTTTTTTGATATTCTGGTCGTTTTTCACGCAAAGCTTGATTCAAATCGATCATTTGTTGTCGGTAGCGTTCAGTATTAACGGTTTCGCCAGGTTTTAGCAGCTCATAATAGATCACACCCTTCTGATCCCACCAAACACAGAGCATTGTCTTCCGCCCATAGCGATTTGGCCTTGCAGTAGATGTCGATGTTTCGCCTGGAGTTACCCATGATCTTTTACGCTTAGGATTCTCAAAATATATCCACTTTTCATCGGCAGTCACAATTCGATGGAGAAATGACTTTCTTTTGTACCTGGCGAGCAGCATTTCGCAAGTGGTTTTTCGGGTTTCCTGCTGTCTTTCATTCAGTTCATGTGGAACCCATTTTCCCAACTTCTGGATCTTTTCTATGGCTTTGAAACGTATGGAGACGGCTTCTCGTGTCACATTTAATTGATCCGCGAGTTGTTGCGTTTGAGCGTCATCCTCATCTAAGAATGCTTGCAATTCGCTGTCTTCAAACTTTTTCGGTGGTCTTCCACGTTCTTCGTTTCTCACATCAAAATCGCCACGTTTGAATTTTTTAAACCACTCAAAGCACTGTGATTTACCAAGAGCATGCTCATCGTAAGCTTCGACAAGCATTCGATGCGACTCTGCAGCAGTTTTCTTCAAACGGTAACAGAAAATCAATGCTGTCCGCAAATCGTAGCTTCCAGGCACAAAATTCGACATGTTCAACGCTATTACAAACTATGCTGTTGTATGAAACTTGTATTGTTGTGAGTTGAAAATCTTTGTCAGATGTCAACAAATGGAAATGGCGCCAATGATGCGGTTTGACGGGAACTACATTGACAGCTAGGGCCATCTATGGGCAAATTCCGGTTTCATATTTACAGACCTGGTACATTAAATATATCAGCCGCATATAAGAGCGAGAGAGAGAGAGAGAGAGGAGGGGGCCGCTCTCTCCCTTTCTTGTAAAATTACCTGTACCGTTTCCTTGCTCGATCCTAAAAGGAGAATAGACTGTGAAAAGCACTCGCACGCAAAGTGCGGCCAGGCAAATTCTACTAATCATTAACGATCACTAAAGATTGATATTGTCAGCCTCCGAAACGTCGCAAACTGCAAATCTCTGTCGACGAACGATGGCCGTCAGAGGAAAGGTTGCAATAATAAATCGCGAAACGAAACGTTTGAGAAACATTCTACTGAATTGGGAAGATGCAAAGGACAGGGATTAAAAGCATAACGCGCAGTCGAAGAGATAGATAGAGAGAGAGAGAGAGAGAGAGAGAGAGAGAGAGAGAGAGAGAGAGACAGAGAGACAGAGAGAGAGACAGAGAGAACCGCTGCAAACAGTCCATAAGCCAAAGAGGATCTAGCGGCTGTGTAGACTGTACTGAAATAATGTACAGTGCCGTACAAACGGCAAGTCGACGAGGGACGAGAAGGGTACGAGGGGGGAGCGAGCAGGGGGAGAGGAGAGGGGGGTTCTCTTTCTCTCTCCGTTTCCCTTGTATGCGTCGCCCTCCGCTGCTGCTGCTGCTGCTGCTGCTGCCGCCGTTGCCGCCGCCGCCGCTGCCATATACCTCTCTCCCGCCGTCGGGGCAACAATGGTGTGCAAAGGAGATTAACAAACAGAATAAGCTAACGCATAATCGCATTATTTCTAACTAAGCCGCATTTAAATTAGATAGAAATTCCATTTAACGAAACAATGCGGGGATGATGAGTCACTTCGTCGTGTACGTATGTGCGCGCGCACGCGCGCGCGCGCGCTACGTCGCCGGCGCGAACAGAGACATAGTCCCCTTCGCGCGACGAACATTCCCGACGCGATCTCTCTCTCTTTCTCTTTCTCTCTCCTCTGCCTCGCTCTCTTTCGCGCGCGCGCGCGCGCGCGCGCGCGCTGGCATGAATCTCTGATTTTCGCGAGATTCTTACGAGTCCGCCGCGTTATCAAGCCGCCAGTCGTCCGGGTCTTCCGGTGGAATGCGAGGCGCGACCGTATTTCGTTGTTCCGCATAAAACACGAACGAGGACATCTATCTCTTTCTCTCGCGCCTGCCCCCCCCTTCCCTCGTCTTTCTTTATATCTCTCTCTCTCTTTTATTTTATTTTATTTCTACTCTACCTAATCCCGAGATTTTGAAATTGATATTAACGAATTTTTTAAATTCCAACTGTTCTGTAATTTAACTCATGTTTTAATTTGTAAATTCTGTCTACGCGCTTAAGGAGACTTGTCCCAGAGCGCCCAATAAATGACGCTTCTCTCTCTCACACACACACACACACACACACACACGTCCCAGCTTCGTGTTTTTAACACCGGTTAAAAGTTTCGATTAAAATCCGCTGTGCGGACACAGCGCAGTTACACGTTTTTATTACCGATTTTACAAAACAGAAACCAAAAGTCACGCGATTGGGTGCAGGTACGAGCAATATGTACGACGATAAATGATATGTGAGGATTATATCGCGCGAGAGCGAAACAAGCGATATTAGTCGATAGGGCGGAAAGAAAGAGGGCCGCCGCGCTGCAACACTCTGTACATGGGATCTAAGATTTATCCCGAAGGAGAGGTGGAGAGAGGTGGAGAGGACAAATATCGGTTGCGCGTTCCAGTTTCGGAGGTTTCGCGATATTTGCCCGCTCTCACGGCGCCTCGTCCTATCGTTTTCGGAAAGGTACTCCGAAACGGCATGTGACTCATAACCGTCGATTGGCCCCTGACCTTTAAGGACGCGATATTAAATTACACAACGTAAACTCGAACGGTCGTGTATTCAAATCAGCCCGAAAGTTAGCACATACCCTTCAATTTCAATCGAACGTTACGGACTATCCGCGGAAACAGCTCTCGCCGCCAGTTTGTGCGTTCAATATCGCGAGAAGTCACCGTTAAATTCGACGTTAAATTTGACGTTCAATTTTACAGGGAGCAGCGCCGCCGCCGCCGCCGCCGCCGCCGCCGCCGCCGCCGCCGTCGTCGTAAAAATTTGTAGAGCACCCTATATAATCGAAGGAAGGGCGCCCGACACAAAAAGAGCGAGCCAACGCGACGAGCCCGCCCACGTGAGGAGGGCGGCCATATTCGTGACGTAATTCTGACGTCACCGTGCCGATGGCGTGCTCCGCACGTTACGCCGGATGCACGGGGAAAATCGTAAAACGTGTGCCTTCAAGCCTTCACCCCTCCCCCAGCCTCGTCCGCCTTATTCCGCGTACCCTCTGTGCCCGCGCGTCCTCCGCCACCCCCCCATTCCCGATTGACGCGCAATCCGCTTTGGGGAAAATGCCTTTCCCGCGCGCCGGCCGGGAGAAGCCGTAGAAGATTTAGATTTTCCGCGGAAACTCCTATTCGCCTCCCCGAGAGAAGATTCTCCCTCTGCGCGACTTTTCGTGGCCCCGCGTGTGTCTCTCTCTCTCTCTCTCTCTCTCTCTGTGGCGAGTGTGTGCGCACGCGCGCGCGCGTGTGTGTACACACGAGAGATATCGTTCAGATTAAATTACACCGGACGCGCGCGAGAACGCGGTCCGATTGACGAGAGTCCTCGGGCTCTGGGTCATGTTGTCGGCAGCTGGACTCCGAGGAGCGCGATCGTCCGTCGCGGCGAGAGCCGCGATGGCGAAACAAAACGAAAGCGATGTTACTCGGCGGTTAAAGAGGAAGACGCGATCGTCGCGCGGCTAACGCGAGTGGACCGGCCGGGGATCGCGCGTTGAACGATCGAAAGGAGATTGATCGTTTCGATCGAAGTGCGTGCCCTCCTCCTCCTCCTCCTCCTTCTCCTCCTCCTCCTCCTCCTCCTCCTCCTCCTCCTCCTCCTCCTCCTCCTCCTCCTCCCGTCGATGGGACACGGGGACGGAAACAAAAATACGGAAATTCGGCTGAGAAGCGGGGATAGACTCCGCGGAGGAGGAGTAGCTTCCTCGACGACGTGTGCCGGCTTCTTGCGGCCGGCACACGTCCGCAGCTCGCAATCGCTCCGAAATCCTGCAGGGGCCAACGTTTGCGCGAGATCGCTCGGGGGAATGACCGACGACGACGACGACGAGGGCACCCTCGGGGCCCCCCCTCTTACCTGAGCACCGCCACCCACGATCGACTGGTAGGCCGATTGAAAAACGCTGCCCAACTGCGTGAGGCCCTCGTCCTCCATCTGGAACATGATGTCCGCCTCCGGCGAGCCGTTGTTGTTGAGATTATTGTTGTTGCCCATCAGTTTCTCCGTGCCGCCGACGTCACGGAGTATCGTGTTCGACTGCATCCTATTCCTCCGGGCGACGGGGCGGGATCAACGCGCGGCGGGGCAACACGTGCGAGGGCTCCGGGTACCGCGCGAGACACCGTACGGGACGGAACACGCTCTCTCTCTCTCTCTCTCTTTCGCGCGCGCGCGTACGGATTTTGATGGTCGCGGATCGACGACGTTTCAAACGTCAACCTCACAGTCCGTCAGACCTCAGCGATGTCGTAGCGCGGCGGACGACACCGCGTCATTTTCGCCGTCGTCGAGCACGGCCGACGACGAGGATGCTCGAGAGCACACGGCGAGCAACGATAACGGCGACCGAAGCGACCGCTTGACGCGTCGTCACGTGACGGGAATCCGCCTCGCGGAATTTGCAGCGCGAGAACAATCGGGGGTACAGCGAGCCCTCCGCGTCAGGTTCAACATACCACGCACTTGTCACGATGTTAGGACGTACACAGAAAGCGAGCTACAGAGTAGAGGAAGAGAGAGAGAGAGAGAGAGAGAGAAAAGAGGAAAAGAGAGAAAAACAGAGCGAACGGAGGACGACGACGCGTGCCGAATGTCAGCCGGGGATATCTAATCGCCGCTGATATCGTTATCCGATCTTTGTTCTTTTCGCGACGAAGCGAAATTTCACTGGGAGTCACGAGCGCGCCATCGCTCGCCCGCTCGGGGCTCGCCGTGAAAACCGTCACCGGCGTACTACGCACACGAGGATGCACGCGCGCGTAATTGCTGCCGCCGCTCCGTTGATCGCTGCATGGCGACGACGTCGGGCCGCTTTCGAGGTTAGGGACACGAGATACAGGTACAACTCGCTCGTTCAACGTGCAGTGGCAGCGCGGCAGCGACGCGTCCTATCGCGCGCACCGCATTTCCTTCGACCTTCAACCTCGGCTAGCCGACGCCGTGCGGTCGCGACAGGACAAACGACGACACACGCACGCACGCACGCACGCACGCACGCACGCAATGATCGCGAGTATTACACTTGTCGTCGTCGTGTTCTCTCTGGCCCGATTGTTCGTACGTGCGCGCGAGAACGGAAGCAGCGGGCGACTGAATCGGGAACGGACGCGCGAAAGATCCTCCCCACACGGTGCACGCGACGAGACTGACGCGTTGCGAGGGGAGGCGACCGCACTTCGGCTCTCCTCGCCTCCCGTCGCCCGACTCCGGAGCTCCCACCCCTCACCCCGTAACCCCGCGCGCTACGTGTCCTACTCTCAACTCGCCGTCGCTCTCTTTCTCTCGTACGCTCGCTCGCTCGGTTGCTCGTTCGTTCGCTCGTTCGTTCGTTCATTCGTTCGTTCGTTCGTTCGTTCGTTCATTCGTTCGTTCGTTAGTTCGTTCGTTCGGTAGTTCGTTCGTTCGTTCAGTAGTTCGTTTGTTCGTTCGGTAGTTCGTTCGCTCGTTCGCTCGTTCGTTTGCTTGCGCTCGCTCGCCTCCTCTGTCCCCTCAACGCTCCAAACTCGCAGGAAGCAACCCCTAGCACGAAGGGTCACTGTTTTTGCCTGCAGAGAGGCGCTCGTATACCGGCGACAAGCGGACGCGAAAGCGAGTGTGGGTGGCTCTCCCTCCCCTCTATGCCGTCCTCTTCTCTTACTCTCTTTCGTTCTTGCCCGCGAGTCATATGCACCGTGCCGAAAACATCGGTCCACTTGTTGAGTCGGAAAGAGAGCGACCGGAGAGAAAGACAGAGTCGAGAACTGGAGCGTGTGGGTGAGCGAGCGAGTGCGTGTATGCGTGCGTGCGTGCATGCGTGCGTGCGTGCGTGCATGCATGCGTGCGTGCATGCGTGCGTGCGTGCGTGCGTGCGTGCGTGCGTGCGTGCGTGCGTGCGTGCGTGCGTGCGTGCGTGCGTGCGTGCGTGCGTGCGTGCGTGCGTGCGTGCGTGCGTGCGTGCGTGCGTGCGTGCGTGCGTGCGTGCGTGCGTGCGTGCGTGCGTGCGTGCGTGCGTGCGTGCGTGCGTGCGTGCGTGCGTGCGTGCGTGCGTGCGTGCGTGCGTGCGTGCGTGCGTGCGTGCGTGCGTGCGTGCGTGCGTGCGTGCGTGCGTGCGTGCGTGCGTGCGTGCGTGCGTGCGTGCGTGCGTGCGTGCGTGCGTGCTTACGAGTATACGTGTGGATACACGCGCGGAAAAGTGGCGTTCGAGATAAAAAGTTTCGCGCGCGGCTAACGACGGACAAAGCCGAAGAGGATCGGCCCCCGCAGTCTCGCTCTCGCTCCCTCTCCCTCTCTTCTTCTCGCTCTTTCGCTTTCTGTCGAGAGCTGTCTGTTGTCCGTCTCCATTCGCGCCATCGTTCGCGATTATCGCGCTTCGTTTCGATCAACACGGACACGCCACGAATCGCGATGAGACTCTCCGCTCGACGTCGCTACCTTGAGTATTATCTCGACATTATATTCGTCATAGCAAAAATAATTCGTCCGCAGTCGTTAGAGTAAAAAAGGAGACAAAACTATCGAGAAAAAAAAAATATATATATATATATCCCTTTTGTATACAAAATGTGGCACGCGGTGCTGAAAAGGATCTTTTTTCCGGACGGCCGACAGAGCTCAAAGTGGGCAGCTTTCGATAGCTCGTATCTCAGCGAGATGACGCCTTCGCAGGAAAGAGAAAAGAACACGCAGCCGAGCCGAGGCTCGGTTATCCGCGCGCGATGGACCTTACGCGCGCGTGTAAAACGGAAACGGCAAAAGCGAGAGAAATATCGCCGGAGTTTCGTGTAACGAGTCGTTGCGCTCTTCGAAACTGTCCGGATCGCGCGTCGACGCGCAGTTAATTAAAAGCTCGCGCGCCGCTATAATGGATCGTCGGCGAATTTTAAGGTGGCGTGCTTAACTTTCGCGCGAAGTTAAATGGCGTTGTTTACCGCGCCCGGCGAAGTTTAATGATATCGCGCGCTCGCGCGCGGCCGAGAATATCTTCATTTCGTGGGAGCGCGGGGGAATCGCGCGCGACGACCACCGCGCGATTTCGGAAAATCTCCGACCGACGGGCGAGAGACCAAAGTAGATCGAAGAGAGAGAGAGAGAGAGAGAGAGAGAGAAACGCGGGAACAGTGGTGGCCAACAGGCGCGGGGAAGGCTTAGATGGACAAGGGGGGGCCGTGAGAGGGGGGACAAACGGGATATCTCGTGGCGCCAAAGGTGCCTCGTTAGTCGGAAATTCGTGAGTAATTTTAGTGTCGTACCCACGCGACCGGCCGAAGGTTTATAATTACCTAGCCTCACCCGACCCAATCTAACCCACTTGGCAAACGAGCGAGAGTTCCAGTTTTCCTCCTCGCCGAAAGCCGGATGCGATGAGCGAACTTGGTTAAAAAATCGATCGACCGGAAACTACCGACGAGCCTCCAATTAATACTCGACTGCGACTTTTCTCCGGCGGATCGATCGGTCGACGACTGATCGGTCGTTCGGTCGACGCCGATTCGTAAAGTGACCGGATTATTCGGGCGATCGCGAATCGGCGATTGAATTCCAGCTGGAGGAACGTCGCCGAGATGTATAGGTATATTTGCGTTTGTATCCGCGCCGGTTAAACAGTTCGTCGATACAATGTGACGACAATTGACATCAATTGTCGACGGCCGCTTTATTGAAGACACTTGATCTCATTTCGATTCAAGACGGGCGCGAGAGCGCGGGACGAGCAGTAATTTCTAATTCAGCGCGGCTCGATCGGTGTTTTATTAGCGTAAAGGTGAGACGACGTTCGCGCGCGTATATAACCACACGTCTCTCCCGAGACAGAAGAGAAAAAAGGGAACTATATACCAGCCGCTTCTCTTTGCAACGTTGAAAATACGTTCAAGTGTATTCATCGGGTACAACGAGTCGTTTGAGCCCGACACTCGAGAGAAAATGTGCTCGAAACAATGTTGAACCGTAAAGTAAAGTAAAATAACACCGATCACTCGCTGCGTTTTGAATGTAAAACATGAGGAATTGTTCATAGCGTTATTAAAGAAGGCACAGACGGACGGATAAATGCGTGTAACGGAGCACCGCTGGGGCAAAGTTAAAAAGTTTCCCCGTACTTGCCCTTCGAGGCCGACCCTCCAGAACGACCGAGAGAATACACTCGTTGATTACTACCCCGTTATCGCGGGTTACGGATCCCGTTAACGCTGTAGAATCAATAATTCCGAAGCCCTCGTCAAAATTTCGTCAAATACGGCTTCATCAAAGCGCGACGAGATCGTTCTCCAGAATTTGGAAAAGTGTACCAAAGTGTCGTTGAAACGCGCTGACCTCCATCCGTGAAGCGCGAGGAATCGCAAAACAAAAAAGAAAAAGAAACGAACGAGCGAATGCATAATTTTCAACATCGACCAGATGGATAATTAATAACACTTATAAACTCATCGTCGTCATGTTGAGACAACGAGAAGGAGCGGCACGGAGCAGGAGCGTGAAGCAGCGCTCTCTCGACAAAATTCCGATCGGAGAAACGTTAATAAGATAAACACGCCAGCGGCGCGACTATAGCCGATAACGCAAATAATGACACAATTTAATTAAATAATTACGTAACGTTTCGTTTGCCGACTCCCTGATAAGAAGGTAAGCGCGTTGTTCGCAGAGCGCAAGCCGAGTATCGATCATCATGCCGCGGGAGTGCTATCTTCCGCGGTGAATTTTGACGAATCGACGCCGGCGGCGGCGGCGGCGGCGGCTCGTCCTTACGAAGAATTCGAAAAATTTGCCCCGTTCGGCGCCCCCAGCAGACGCGCGTGCGGCCGTCCCAACAGACCCAACATACGCGACCACTATGAATGGCGAAGGGTAACTCATCGGGCGGAATCGCGCAAACAAGGTGCTCTCGTCGAGTCGACACGTCGAGCCGACCCGACAGAAGCGTCGGAGGAAGAAGAGAAAGAAGAAACGCATGAGAAAATGAGAGACGCGTTTTGGGGGGCGTTTCGGAGCACAAACGTTCCTGCTTTCGGTCCTGCGCGTTTCTTCCTCTCGTCTACGGACCCTTGGAGCAATTCGGAGAGCGAACATCTAGCTACCCCCTTGGGAAAAAATGGTAAGTCACCGCCGATGACCGTAACGACGATTGAGACTTCCACGACGACGACAAGAACGGCGCGGTATTATCGATCGTCGGGCAAAGAAATTCCGCCGAATATCGCACGCGCGCGCGCGCTCGTCGAGGAAGGCAGGAATACAAAAAGAAATAATAATAGGAAAAAAGAATGACTAGAGGGGGGGGAGAGGAGGGGAAGGGGGAGGAGAAGACACGACATTACCACCGTGGCGTTTCGTCATTGGACGGCCAACAAATAATTAGGTAACCTCGCCTGGCCAACTGTGTAAACGCGAGCGCCTCCGCGGCATCCCCGCGCTCTTTCCACACCTTGTCAGGTCGTGTAAAGACGACGAAGCGAATAAAGGGCGAGGAGAGGAGAATATCCGAGAGAAGCAGAGACGGAGAAAGGTGGCGCGAAGAGTCGTCGACCCGAGAGAGGACGCCTCTCCTCCTCTCTTCTTCTCTACGCCGTCGCACGATCCCCCTCTCGAGAGCGTGAAAAAAATAATAAGATCGTGGGTGTCTCTCTTGCTCTCTCGCTCTCTTGCTTTCTTTCTCCCCGGAGGTCGGAGGATTCTCCGACTCTCGTCTCCTCTCTTGACGCGAAAGCGCGATCGCGAGCGCGCGAGGTTACGACAAAAACACCGCCGGCAAGAAGACGGAACTCGCTGTTTTCGTCGTCGTCGTCGTCGTCGTCGTCGTCGTCAGCATCGTCACCGTCAGTGTCGTCATCGCCAACGAGCGTCACGGCGTGCAAGTTTAGACGACATCGCACAGTCGACACGTGTCTTAACGCCGAATAATGAGAGAGCTACGTCGCTCGCCTGAGTATATACGTAATTGCGAATTTGCCCGAAACTTATCGCCGGAATTTAACGTTGGAGAACTTTCGCCATGACACGCGAGACTACACTCTTTCTGCAGCGGATTAACTTCCGCTTCATCGATAATTCGCGAGGCGAGCGTTCGCGCAGCCACGGCGAACGGTAACACCGCGACGTCGACGCGAACTCGACGGCCGATCGTCGGAAATCTTTTCCGCGAAAACATTCGCGCGCACGATGGTACGCAGGAGGGACAAGGGGGAGAGGAGCACGGAGGTG